TGAAATAATATTGTTAAATTCTTATTAGTAAAATAAACTGGTTAAATAAATGTATGAATGTGTATATTGAAAATGCATTTACCCAGATGCACTGATTGATATTTCATTAAATGAATAATTTTCCTGAAATATAGACATTTATTTAATTATTTTTATTTAAATATTTATCATAAACCAAGATTAGTTAACTTTAAAAATAAAAATATAACAATTGAAAAATTTAAACTTAATTGAAATATAAATAAATAAAATTTTATATAATTTTATATAATTTTATTACATATTGTATATTATATGGCAATAGAATTGCAATGTTTTCTTGGTTATTATTTGTTTGATTTAGTTGCAAACAATATTTTTTATCAATTATTATGTAACAAGTTTAAGTGCAAAACTATCGTCTGGGTCAATAAGAATTATTTACTTTAATAAAATCTCATATAAATACAATAGAGAATATGACAATGTTAATTTCATATTACATATATTTCCATTGATTCTATAAATCCAATAATTATAAGTTAGTTTTAAATGGTTTTATTAATAACGTATTGTTCATCTGAAATAATGCTAAAATTCATATTTTTATATCCAATGATATCTTGTTTTCTGAATTCTTGTATATCGTCGTGAAGTTTGTTGACGACAGGACTCAATGGCTTAATGTTTGCCATTTGTGTCAGTGTATGGCAATAATCATAAGATGATTGAGAAATCTTATTGTAATGCCTTTCACTTAAACCTATGGACTTTCTTAGAGACAGTTCCTGTTGTGTATGGCTTTCCATCTCTTTAATTGATGGCAACTCCAGCTCTCGAGTCAAACATTTCATGAATAGTGAGACCTGTTTTATAAGAGACAAGTTATGAGACAATAATAATTATTGTTGAATTTTTGAATGTAATTTTTCTCAGTAACGACCTGAATGTGATAGTACGGGAATGGTATGGGTATCCTAGATATGGCCCAAATAGCCATCGATGGGTACGTTTGGTTAATGAAGTGTAAGTAAATTCCTTCAACCCGTCCACTGTTGTTGACATTTATGGCACAACTTTTGTCCAGAAATGATAGGTCCGATTGATATCCCGTCGCCAATAGTATTGTATTCACTTTGTATTGATTGCCGTTTTTTAATTCAACGCCAGTTTCAGTAATTTCTTGAATTTCACTCAATTCTTGAACAATATTTTCCGATAGGTTTAGAAATGGTTCGGCATTTCTGTGACAGAAAATCACTTGTTTTGCTACTTCTGACACTTCTATGGAAATGTCAACACCAGAGGGCCCGCCGCCCAACACCAACACTACCTCTCCCTCAAAACCGTCGGCCACTCTGTAGTCATGAGTGTGTAATACCTGTCCTTTAAAGGTATGCAACCCTTTAATGTCTTTGGGAATGAATGGTATTGAGAACTTGCCGTTGCATACAAATACAGAGTCGTAAATGTGTTCACGTATTTCACCGGTTGTGATATTTTTCACCATAATTTTCCATACATTCTCAGATCTCGAAACACTTATTATCTGATGATTGAACTGTTTTTTTTAAATGTAAAACAATTAATTAGTAAGATGAATAAATTTAGTTATTTAATTAAATTATTAAATTTGCTTCACTTTTATGTATTGATATAAATTGAAATGTTTTGCGTAGTCTTCGAGGTATTGAAGTACACGAGTGTGCGATACAAAGGATGTCTCGCAGTTGGAGGCAAAGTCTTGAAACTCCATGATTTCCATCGGAATATTAGTTCTGTTTTATGAAAAAATTTATCCTTATTTAGCATAATATGAATTTAAATTTAGAAAACAATTCTTAATCATTGAAAATAATGTTAAACCTAAGAAGTGAACAATGTATTTCAACTTATTGAAAAACATTCATTTTTGTGATTTTTATATTAAATGCTATTCAATACTATGAATGAGTTTTAACATTATTTTCAATTGCTAAGAATTGTTTTCTAGATTAAAAGTCATAAGTTATAAGTTTTGATGAAAATATACCTCATATTCCTATACAAACTCGTGTGTATTGGGAGTCCATTGGTGTCCAAACCGACCGAATCGGTGTAATTCCAAACGCCGCCCACTTTTGTTGTCTTCTCGTAGACATCGAAAGTGAATACTGACTGGTATTGTGATAGATGTCGGGCCGCACACAGACCGGCCGCACCCGCGCCTATAACACAGGCTCGCATTCGCTTGTCTTTATGGTCTGACATATTATAGCTAGAAATTAATCGGAGACTAATCTAAAAATTTGTTAATAAAATTTAATTTAATATTTACTATTAATATTATCTACTTACGAGCAAACTTTTTTTTTAATTAATTGTTTATATTCTGATAGAATAGAGCATAAACAAGGTTCACATAGCGATGCTGTACGTTAACCACAACTCAGGAAATACATCAAGATTGTAAATTTTTCAATTCTTTTGTTTGAATACTTTCATCAGTGAAAATTCTAAATGTTTTTGACAATAAATAGTTCGATTTATTATATCAGATTCATTAAGTATAGTATATCTTCATAGAAAAGCATTATTCCATTGAGATAACATTACTCACATAGATATAACATTACACATAGAATTAGCATTGCCATAGATTTAATATTACCCATGTTAATCTTATGTCATAGACTGTACATTACTCATAGAAGTAGCATTGCCGTAGACTTAGCATAATCCATGTTAAACCTATGTCATAGACTTAAGCTGAAATTCCATAGAAACCCATGTAAAACCGTTTCCGTGTTAAACCTATGAGAGTCACCCCACGTTAAAGTATAGACATAGGATTAGCATAAGATCCCATGTTAAATCCCATGGGTGGGGGGGGGGAGGAGGAGAAGGATTAGGCTCCACGATACTATAAACCACATTTATAAAATATAATCTGAAAATGTCTACACATTTACAGTATATGAGAAGAATGATTTTTAATAAAACAATG